GTAAGTCATGCACGAAACCAAGTAGCAGTTAATGGATCAAACTAACTTGACTAGCCGTGTGGAATACCGTCCCCTGGAGGGATTCGTCTACGCCATCAGTCCCTTCAACTTCACTGCCATTGGCGGTAACCTGGCTGGTGCTCCCGCCCTGATGGGTAACGTCGTCGTTTGGAAGCCTTCTCCTTCCGCCATCGCCTCCAACTGGCTCGTCCACCAGATCCTTCTCGAGGCCGGTCTGCCCAAGAACGTCATCCAGTTCGTTCCCGGTGATGCCGCCGAGGTCACCAACACCGTCCTCAACCACCCCGACTTTGCTGCCCTCCACTTCACCGGTAGCACCGCTGTGTTCCGTAGCCTCTACGGCCAGATCGCCAACGGCGTTGCCGAGGGCAAGTACCGCAGCTACCCCCGCATTGTTGGTGAGACCGGTGGCAAAAACTTCCACCTGGTCCACAAGTCGGCCGATGTCCGCAACGCTGCCGTCCAGACTGTCCGTGGAGCTTTCGAGTTCCAGGGCCAGAAGTGCAGTGCCACCTCCCGCGCCTACGTGGCCGCCTCCATTGCCGACGAGTTCATCAAGAACGTTGTGGCCGAGACCAAGAACATCAAGGTCGGCGAGCCTTCTGACTTCACCAACTTCTGCGGTCCCGTCATCCACGAGGCCTCCTTCAACAAGCTGGCCAATGTGATCGACGAGGCCAAGAACGACCCCGAGCTCGAGCTGCTGGCCGGCGGTAGCTACGACTCCTCCAAGGGATGGTACATCCAGCCCACCGTCTACCACACCACCAACCCCGACCACCCCCTCCTCTCCCGCGAGCTCTTCGGTCCCGTCCTGGTCATCCACACCTACGCTGATGCCACCGAGGCCGACTTTGCCAAGATCTGCGAGAAGGTTGACCAGACCGGCGACTACGGTCTGACCGGTTCCATCTTCGCCCAGGACCGCGAGGTTCTCCGCACCGCCGACGATGCCCTCCGCAACACCGCCGGTAACTTCTACATCAACTGCAAGAGCACTGGTGCTGTTGTCGGCCAGCAGCCTTTCGGCGGTGCCCGTGCCAGTGGTACCAACGACAAGGCCGGCAGTGGCAACCTGCTGTCCCGCTTCGTCAGTCTGCGGTCGATCAAGGAGGAGTTTGTCCCTACCTACAAGGTCCCCTACCCCAGCAACGATGCTTAAGGGGTGAGTAGGATGGTGATGAGAGATGGTTATTTGGCATATTCCATATTCCCCACGAGTTTTGCATATGTGGCGTTCGGTAAAATTGTTGTATGAATATTTTAGTTATTAAATATATCCAGTCCACCGGAACATCCTTATACTTGTAAACCTACACTAGACCCTAGATACCATCCGCACACCTCTCCAAAAACCTCCTCATACTCCCCATCGCCTCCCTCGCAAACCCCTCCACATCCCCAATCTCCTCCTCTCCCGTCTTCCCCCCATCAAAAATCTCCATACTAAACCACCCCCTAAACCCCGTCCTCAACACCGCCCTCCCCACCTCCTCAATAGGCAAATACCCCCCATGATACGGCATCGGCCTGAAATCATGACTCCACCGCGCCCTAGGCCTCGCCCCATCCACCACCTCATCCTCAAACGGAGATAGTGGCTTATACGCATCCGACACCTGCAACAGGAAGATCTTCTCCGCAGGAACCGTCCTCGCCAACTCCTCCAAACTATCTTCATACCTCTTCCTCACATCCTCACCACCACCACTAACCACCCCCCCAGGGGCCGTCGGATCCCCCCACTCCCCCCCAGCCGTCTGAAACGTATCCAAACACAACCCAACATTCTCCCTCCCCACATCCCTAACTATCTCCCATACATCCTTCCAATTCGGTGCATGCGTACTCCAGCACCAGTTCTCGTACGCGATGCGCTGGCCCTTGCTCGCTAATATATCTGCTAGTTCACGTAGATCCTCCACCACTGCATCCCTGTCCACCTCCCCATTCTTTATACATAATTTCTCCTCCGGGGTATCCGTCGATCCGATCTGTAATAGATCCGTTCCCAACGCCTCCATAATCTCACTCCACCCTTTTGCACGGGAGAACGCGTCCTCTCGTTCTGCGGAACCGCGAGGCCATCCCTCGAAGTTGGCGAAGGGCTGGAGCATCATAATCCGCAGATTGTGGGATTCGCATATTGAGCGGATTTCGGTTGCGGAGCGGATGAGCGCGGGGTAGTCGGTTGGTAGGATCTGGGTGGTGCCGGGGTTGTGGGTGTTGGCGTAGGCGAGGAGGTCCGGGAAGACGAGCTCGATGCCCGTGAAGGAGGCGGAGTGGAGGGTGGTGAGTTTGGTTTCTAGGGGGGTTGTGCTGGGGGGGCCTAGGGAGCAGGTTGCGTAGCTGAGGGGGATATTGTTGATTTCTGTTGTGGGGGACATTGTTGTTGTTGTAGATGCTGTGATAATATTTTTATATGTAGGGGTGATGATGATTGTGTGGTTGGGGGTTTCGTGGTGAGTTGAATTGATGTGTCAAAGGTGATTGAGTTCCAATTATAGTCAGTAGAATGTTGAATTGAAGGGAATGGTGGTTGGGTGTAGAGGTATTGCAATTGAGTTGGTTTTGGGTTCGTTCAGGATGATGTAACCGGCCGTTGTTAGGGCTTCCGGTGCTTCCAGACAGATACTTTGTATATTGTAGTTGATTCTGCAGCAGGTTTTGATCGGATCAGTGGAATCTATTATTTATCCAATCAATCATGCCATGCTTATAAAGTATTAGGATGGGTTGTATAGCATGATAATAATGAGTGAGTGGTATCTTCCATGACGTCTGCACATGATGTAACGGGTGCGTAGTAGTAGTAGTGCCTGGCCTATCCGCGCCACGGCAGCTCTTAAAAATGCTTCATTTCACAACCCCTCAACAATGTTCCACTGTAAACCCAATTAATATACTATCAATAAAATCAGTAATATGCCGCCTCACTCCTTCAAAAGAATCGGCATCGTCGGAGCCGGCAACATGGGCTCGATGATGAGCTTCGCCTTCACCGAGCTCGGGCTGGACGTCTCCATCTGGGACGTGAAGCGCGAAAATGTCGACGGGATCAAGAAATGGTACGACGAAGGGAAATTCAGCGGCAAGGGGAAAGTGGAAGGATTCTACGAGATCGATAAATTCACCAAGAGTCTGGAAGGTCAAGGGGAACGGAAACTATTTATCTTCTCTATCACCCATGGCGATCCTGCAGACTCCGTCTTGGATATGATTCAGAATGATCTGAAAAAGGGAGATATTATCCTCGACGGTGGAAATGAGAACTATCGACGAACTGAGCAGCGACAGCAACGATGCAAGGAACTCGGCGTCAGTTGGATCGGCATGGGTGTCTCGGGCGGGTATCAATCGGCCCGCCATGGCCCGAGTTTATCGCCTGGGGGTGATCCGGAAGCGATTGAGCTTGTCTTGCCGTTGTTGGAGCAGTATGCTGCCAAGGATGAAAAGACCGGCAAGCCTTGTGTGACGAATGTGGGACCTGCTGGTTCGGGTCATTTCGTCAAGATGGTCCATAATGGTATCGAAGGGGGGATGTTGTCTACCACGGCGGAGGCGTGGGCTTTGCTTCATTGGGGATTGGGGTTGGAGTATCAGGAGATCTCTGATATATTTGAAGACTGGAATACGAAAGGAGAGTTGCGGAAGAACTTTCTGCTCGACATCGGTGTGCAAATCCTGCGCACGAAGAAGACTCCCCAGGGCGACTACCAAGGCGAAGGCGCCAGTCAAAACGGCGGTTACGTGCTGGATGACGTGCTCGACAAAGTGGTACAGGACGACGATGACACCGAAGGAACGCCCTACTGGTCGGTTATGGAGACTGCCAACCGACATGTGGCCGGTCCTACGCTTGCTACGGCGCACTATATGCGCATCGCGAGTGGAAACCGTGCCGAAAGACTGGAGGTTGCGAAGAAGCTCAACATCCCTGGTCCCAAGGCCATCGACACCAAAGACCGCAAAGACTTCATCGAGAAACTGCGTCGCGCCGTCTACTGCTCCTTCTTGGCTTCATTCTGCCAGGGACTGGAGTTGATCGCGCGCGCATCCAAGGATGAGGGATGGAACGTCGATCTCGGCAAGTGTATCCAGATCTGGCGTGGGGGATGCATCATTCAATCCGAAGCTATCGCAGATCTTCTGCAACCGCTCATGCGTCCGGACCTGACTAACATGAAGTTCCTGGATGAGGTCGCCCGGGAGCTGCACAAGCATTTTGATGCGCTGAAGGAGGTGGTGTTGGCGGCCACAGTGGCAGATCAGTACATTCCCGCGTTGTCTGCGACGTTAGAGTACCTGAAGTATGAAGGAGGGACGATGCTCCCCACGAAGTTCATGGAGGCGCAGATGGATTTGTTTGGCGCCCATGCCTACTACAAACCGGGCGTGCCTGGAGAGGATCCGGGGCCGGTGAAGAAGGGACCTCACCACTACGAGTGGCGTCCAGCCTAATGCAGAGATGTAATCGTTGTATAGGGAAGAAGATAATGTTGTAATGAGACACATTCAATGACATGTCATGATACTTCCACAATATATAGACCCGCGGGTTTCTGAGTCCTCTTTTTGTATCCGTAACATCGGTCAGATGCAGACTGTAGATGGTTTGTGATAAGTCCTATATCCTAGAGTTATGTAACAGAAAGTACTGTAGCACGTGAAGAATAGAAGTTTTGGAGCGACAGGAGTAAAGCCAGTCAAGTAAAAGAGATAGTCGACGAATGGTGCCTGAGGAAGCGGCACGTGGGGCGCCATAAAAGATTGCCGCCTCAGGCGGAAACGGATTACCCGATTGGGTGATGACCCCGCCATGGAAGATTTGCGATTGTCTCCAACTTCAAATCACTCCGTCTCCTCCCCTCCTTCTCTCCTCTTATTGTATGCCCTTGCTTGCCCTGCGCCGTCTCTTGTCCACTCTTCCATCCCGCCCCCTCAGGAGAATCGAGTCCGCAAAGCAACTCGCCCAAAGAATGGCCGCCCTTCCCTCCACCTACGACGGTAAGTCCGATCCCCGCCCGGCGCATCGTGCTCCTCACAAATCCATACTGATCGCTCTTACTCTACATAGAGCCCGTCCGTATCGCCGTTATTGGCGGTACTGGTCTGCGTGAGCTCCCCGGCTTCACCCAGGTTGCGTCGTTGAACATCTCGACTCCTTGGGGCACCCCCTCTTCCCCCATCACCATCCTGCACCACAAGTGCTCCCACAACAACCAGACGGTCGCCATCGCCTTCCTGAGCCGTCACGGTCTGCACCACCAGATCGCTCCCCACGAGGTTCCCGCCCGCGCTAACATCGCCGCTCTGCGCTCCATCGGTGTCCGCACCATCATCGCCTTCTCCGCCGTCGGTAGCTTGCAGGAGGAGATCAAGCCCCGCGATTTCGTTGTTCCCGACCAGGTCATCGACCGCACCAAGGGTATCCGTCCGTTCACCTTCTTCGAGGGCGGCGTTGTCGCTCACGTTCCTTTCGGTGACCCCTTCGATGAGGGTGTCGCCAAGGTCGTCCGGGCCTGTGGACACAGCTTGGAGGGTGAGGGTGTTGTCCTGCACGACCGCGGTACCCTGATCTGCATGGGTATGTGATAATTGTCTAATGGAATAAGGGTCGCATTTACTGATTACCAAATAGAGGGACCTCAGTTCTCCACCCGCGCTGAGAGCAAGCTGTACCGCTCCTGGGGTGGCAGCGTCATCAACATGTCCTGCCTGCCCGAGGCCAAGCTGGCCCGCGAGGCCGAGATCGCCTACCAGATGATTTGCATGTCCACTGACTACGACTGCTGGCACGAGTCGACCGCCGATGTGACCGTGGAGATGGTCATGGGCAACATGAAGGCCAACGCCGTCAACGCCAAGCGCTTCGTGACTGCTGTGCTCGACGAGCTGGCCGCTGAACAGAACTCTCAGCTGGTGCAGGCCAAGCACATCGAGGGATCCGTCAAGTTCGGCATGAGCACTGCCCAGCCCAACTGGAGCCCCGAGGCTCGCGAGCGGATGAACTGGCTGTTCCCTGGCTACTTCAACTAGGGCCACCGATGACCGGCGGGCTGGCATACGAGTGGATATCTATGAATAGATAGATTATGGTCATCATGACTTACGAAATGCATGATGCGAGGCATATAGAAGATACAAAGAATACAATACCATGTCACGAAGAAGTATAGATTTCGTATTGTGTAATGATGGTCGACTGCGTAATGACTGAAGTGTGCTCTTATTCACTGGCAAGTCATTCACTAGATCACCGACAACTCGCTAAGTCCGGCGCCTCTCCTGCATTTTAGTTCAGTGTTCTGCTCGCCCCGGCGATCTTGATGTTTACCTGCATCTTCATCATCCCATACTCACACGGTGGCACCAGAGTCCGGATCACCATGGATCTGAACTATACGACCATCGACGCCCGCGGGGACATGCTCCTTGTGGTCGAAACGGATGGTGAGCAGATGTATACGCGCCTGACACGATTCAGTGAGTGCACATCATTCAGCCGTCACTACCGGTGCTCTTAATCTCTACACGTGCATGTCCATGCTAACATCCACATTTCACTGTTTAGATCCCACCCACCGCACAACCCGGTCCGTTCCAACCTACTTTCAGGGAATTGTCGACACCATCAGCAAATTCCCACGCCGGAGCAGTGCTCCAGCTCCACCAGAACATGAACTAATTGGCTCCAACCCTGGACAGCAAGCCACCAACAGTGTCTCTCAGAACCGCACCGTGCAGGCCAGAATCAGAGTATCTTCGGATCAACTCGCCCATACCTGCCCTTACTTCCAAGTGAAGATCAACAGTGAGGACAAGATCAAGGAAGCCGATGCTCTGCCTTCTCGATTCAATAATCTCGGTGCTTTGCTCGTCTTGCTTAATGCCGTTCACGGTCGCGCCCCAAATGTCCCACGCCACGTTACCCCAGACACCCTGTGCATGATTGCTCTCCTGACTGAGCACTTCGGATGTTACAATAACATGATGGCTTACAGTGAAATTTGGGTCATAAATATGTCTGATTCGATTCCTAAGGCATATGACAATGATGTGGTCAAGTGGATTTATATCGCCTGGGTGTTCCGTCATCGTAGTCTCTTTTGGCACATCACTCGCGTCGCTATTCGAGGAAGTACCGGCGAGATCTTGAAACAAGGACTGCCGATTCCTGATCTGTTGCTGGGTGCGTATCATTCTATCTTTCTTTACTTCAATGATTGCAATTGTGAGACACTGACCTATGACACGGACAGAGCACATTGATAGTCTTCGCCAGAAGCACGTCGACGCCCTCGTCATCTCGCTCTACCAGCGCATGGAATCTATCCTCGAGGAAGGCGGCTGCTGTGCGGCCTGCGACGCGATGGTCGTTGGACAGCTGATGACAGAGATGAAGCCCAAGGATCTTTTCCCGCCACCCGAGGCCCCGTATGAGGGATGGAGCATCGATTATCTACTGCGAATTCTTTCGGATGTGGCCGAGCCTCAATGCACCCGCCTGTTTCATAAAGACTTGGGTTGTCGGCGGGGCCCCTGTGCATTGTTCCCGGAGACTAGTGATCTCATGAAGCAGGTTGATGTGGAAGCGACCGGCCTGGACTACGACTGGGTGGTTAGCGGCCTTTGACGAGCGCTGCTTTGGTTTAGGCTCATGATTGGGCATTAACATGGAGTTTTCATTTTTCTTTTATGGCATATTGCTGCTGGTTGGTTTCACGACGGAGTTGGGTGCATGGATAGGCCAGGCGTTGATAGAAACGGCGAATAGTTCTTGCTGGTTGGTAGTTAATTGAATATCAGTGGCTCCTTTTTCCTTTTGAATCGAAACATGGATGGCTGTCTGCCACTGCCCCTGAAGATCCCAACGGACCGTAACTCTCCATTCACAATGCTCTCATGAAGATAGTGGACGATGATCATCTCCCAAACGGCGCAAGCGAAGTCATGCATATGTCTAACAATAGCCTCGGCTGATCGTCACACGCCAGCTGCAACCTGCAACATCCCCCGTGCAACCAACTTGCAGCAATCCTGCAGATTCCCCGCGCTGTCATAGCCCTGTTTCTCCTTCGGCTAATGTGTATCCAGGATGATCCTTTCCCTGGCTCGGCTGAATGAAGGCAATAATGAACCGTTCCTCATCATCTGCTCCGCCCCCAAACACGGATCTTCCCTCCGACATTCCATCCCCGGGTTGGCCCTCCTCGCCATCCCCGCTGATCACTTGCTCTTTTTACCCCAGTCCCTGCGTTTTCCCGTCCCAATGCCTCTATCTTGTTTGCGACCGAGCAGTACTATGCTTCCTTGGCACGCGCACATGGCGTCGCTATTACACCCCTTGGCCTTGCTGTCATTGGGCCTGACCCAATCGTGCTGTGGCATGACCACGATTTTGTATTTATCCAGCTGGGACCCCATGATCCACGGCAGGTAGACCCGGTCTAGTCTGGAACCTTGTAGGCAGAAAGGAACTGAGCTCGTCGGCGTATATCTCCTGCCTGGTATCCGCACTGACGTCTCCGGGTACGTCCCAGCCCTTGAACGTCTCCGTCGTCGCATGCATAGTCAACCATGGGCGCGAATTCACCTCTATATCTAGCCTTGTTGGCAGGTATTATACCCTGGTCGACTGCCTCCTCTGCTCCCCTACAATCTCGAGACGATGGCGCCTTCTCACCCCCCTACTACCCAGCCCCCAACGGCGGTTGGCTTTCCGACTGGGCCAGTGCGTACGAAAAGGCGCAAAAGGTCGTGAGCAACATGACTCTGGCAGAGAAGGTGAATCTGACTACCGGAACCGGCATGTTCATGGGCCCTTGTGCGGGCCAAACAGGAAGCGCGCTTCGATTCGGTATCCCGAATCTCTGTCTTCATGACTCCCCGCTGGGAATCCGCAACTCGGACCATAACACGGCTTTTCCTCCTGGCGTTACGGTGGGCGCGACATTCGATAAAGAGCTTATGTACCAGCGCGGCGTCGAGCTCGGAGAAGAGGCTCGTGGCAAGGGTGTTAATGTACTCTTGGGCCCTGTTGTCGGTCCGACATTTCGCAAGCCGAGAGGCGGCCGTAACTGGGAGGGATTTGGCGCGGATCCAAGTCTTCAGGCTATCGGCGGTGCCCTGACCATTCAGGGCATGCAGAGTACGGGAGCGATCGCGAGTCTTAAACATTTCATTGGAAATGAGCAGGAGATGCATCGCATGAGTAGTGTTATCACGCAGGGGTATTCTTCGAATATTGATGATCGGACACTCCATGAACTGTATCTGTGGCCGTTTGCGGAGGGTGTTCGTGCTGGGACGGGCTCGGTGATGATGGCGTATAATGATGTAGGTGTACTGTTTTCCGAGTCGATGGTCGCCTCGCTAATCTGTCTTTTAGGTCAACCGTTCCGCTTGTAGTCAAAATAGTATGCTCATCAATGGCATCCTCAAAGATGAGCTCGGCTTCCAGGGCTTCGTCGTGACGGACTGGCTCGCTCAGCTCGGCGGTGTATCGTCCGCATTGGCTGGTTTGGATATGAGTATGCCGGGAGACGGTAGCATTCCACTGCTTGGTGATAGTTATTGGGGTTCGGAGCTCTCTCGGTCTATTCTCAACGGTACCGTTCCAGTCGAACGTCTCAATGACATGGTGAGTACCATCACTTCTCCTACAGAGACATTTCTCACACTTCCAGGTCACGCGCATCGTTGCGACCTGGTATAAAATGGGCCAGGACGAGGACTATCCTCTCCCCAACTTCTCCAGTAACACCCTCGACGAGACTGGCCCACTTTATCCCGGTGCCCTCTTCTCCCCCAGCGGCGTAGTCAACCAATATGTAAACGTTCAAGGAAACCACAACATCACCGCTCATGCCATCGCTCGCGACGCCATCACCCTTCTCAAGAACGAGAATAACACGCTGCCTCTCTCAACCACCGATTCCCTCAAGATCTTCGGCACCGACGCCGGCCCCAACTCCAACGGGCTCAACTCCTGCACCGACCAGGGCTGCGACAACGGGGTCCTGACCATGGGCTGGGGCAGCGGCACATCTCGTCTCCCATACCTCGTAACCCCCCAACAAGCCATCGCCAACCTGTCTTCCTCCGCAGAATTCTACATCACAGACTCCTTCCCCTCCAACCTCAAACCCAACGCCTCCGAAATCGCCCTCGTCTTCATCAACGCCGATTCCGGCGAAAACTACATCACCGTCGAAAACAACCCGGGCGACCGCACCAGTGCCGACCTCTACGCCTGGCACAACGGCGACGACCTCGTCAAAGCCGCCGCGGACGTCTTCTCCACCGTCATCGTAATTGTCCACACCGTCGGCCCCATCCTGCTCGAGAATTGGATTGACCTCGACCCCGTCAAAGCCGTGCTCATCGCCCACCTCCCCGGCCAAGAAGCCGGCTACTCCCTAACCGACATCCTCTTCGGCTCATCCTCTCCCAGCGGCCATCTCCCCTACACCATCCCCTACAAGGAATCCGACTACCCCTCCAGCGTCGGCCTCCTCGACCAAGCCTTCGGACAAATCCAAGACGACTTCACCGAAGGTCTCTATATCGACTACCGCCACTTCCTCAAAGCCAACATCACCCCCCGCTACCCTTTCGGCCACGGCCTCTCCTACACCACCTTCACCTACTCCACTCCCTCCCTCACAACCGTCACTGAGCTAGATACAGCCTACCCCCCAGCCCGCCCATCCAAAGGCCCAACTCCATCTTACTCCACCGCCATCCCCAACCCCTCCGAAGTCGCCTGGCCCTCCTCCTTCTCTCGCATCTGGCGCTACCTGTACCCCTACCTCGACAACCCACAATCCGTCTCGAACTCCTCCTCATCCTCATACCCCTACCCATCCGGCTACTCCACCACTCCGAAACCCGCACCCCGAGCTGGAGGCGGTGCCGGCGGCAATCCCGCTCTTTGGGACGTTGCCTTCGCGGTGGAAGTCACTATCACGAACAGTGGGAACTATAGTGGTCGTGCTGTAGCGCAGTTATATGTAGAGTTACCGACAGATATATTG